GGAACAATTGAATTAGCTTTTCATGTGAATGGCATACTTTCCAGCATTTCACAAATTAAAATGGGATCTCTGAAGCAACTAGGAAAAAGAGGCCCAGTGGGTTCATGAGTACAACCAACCATGAAAATCCAGCCAGTTTAGGCCATTTCTGACAGTCTGGATTTACACTCTGGATGTGTGTGTGTGTGTGTGTGTGTGATTTTTAAAGTCCTGGTTTAGAATTCATGTGCAGACTGTAGATGCCTGAAAGTCTTGTAGCTCCTACTGCATCTGAAACACCCCAGGGCTAGCCATCTATCATAACTTTTTGCCTCTCCTGTAGACTACATAGATTTGCATCAGGAAAAGCACTAAAAACTCATAGGCCTTTAGGTTGGTATACTCTTGATGATGTCATTCTTATTCAGAACTGAGCCAGTTTAGGACTGATTCAGAACTGAACCAGTTTTGAACCAATCCATTAAGGAAAAAAGATTAATCTGGTTTTTACAGATAAAGGCTGAATTGTACACGGGGTATGAATTTTTATGTCACTTTAGGACAGTTGATCTGGCTCTGCATACTTGCTACTGGTGCCATTGGCTAGCAAGAATTGCCAGCCAGTGCCATGATAAACCAATTTCCTTCTTATGGAAATTAGAATCTTTCAGTTCCATTTCAGTGTGTCTTTATAAGAAATAACCTCTATCAAGGGCATAGACTTCCTCACTCTTGTTAAGCAGAATCCTCAGAGCATGAAGAGGTCTTTAGGTTTAGACGTTTAAATATTCAAATATGCGGTTAGTTTTTACTTGCTGTGTAATTATTAGGTGTTGTGATTTCCTTACGTGAATTTAAATGTGTGTTTTTTTCGTTTCAAGTGTGTGCTTGTACCTTGCTTGTAGATTCCTTGTGATTAACTGGAAGTCTAGTCCTAGGCAGGTATATTTGAAAGCAAGTCCCAATGAAATGTTATTGTCAAAACAGTGTTTAATAGTCTTTTACAAATGATAGGCTGCGGTGGCTCAGAGGTTAAGACACTGAGCTGCAGACCGGAAGGTCTGTAGTTTGGCAGTTTGAGACCTGAGTGCCACATGATGGAGTGAACTCCTGTCTCTGGCCCCAGCTCCTGCCAATTTAGCAGTTTGAAAGTAAGAAATTGCAAGTAGATAAATAGGTACTGCTTCGGTTGGGAAGGTAACAGCGTTCTGTGCGCTTCAGCATTTAGTCATGCCGGCCACATGACCATGGAGAAGTCTTCGGACAGCGCTGGTTCTTCAGCTTGGAAACAGAGATGAGCACCGCCCCCTAGAGTCGGATTCGACTAGCTTTTGAGCAAGGAAAACCTTGACCTTTACTAAATAATAACAGACTTTATTTTGTTGACAATTTGTTGCAGGATTTACAAGTAATTGATTTTTAGACTACTTCAAAACTATTTTCTTAGCTATTGAAATAGTGATGAACTGGTACCCCATGGAAAAACAAAATACTGTGAATTGTCTAGAGGCAAAAGACCACATCCATTATGGTCAGGTGATCAAGCCTTATTTGGTTGATAAGTAAATGGCATCATTCACTCCATCTATCCAGAAATCACTATCTAAATATGGCTAAAAAGTCAAAATACTGTGCACAGGGCAAGCAACAACTGGCTGGGGGTAGGAGAAAAACTGCTGGAAGAGTTAAGAGACCCCTCCTCCAGCAGGATTCTTTTCCATAGGACTGCAGCCTTCACCATGCCCTTTGTTTAAACAACAACAACAACAACAACTGGGGGCAAAATACTGAAATGTGTGCCATTTAATGGCACATTTAGTTTGGTCCTAAATATACTTGTGTTCGAGGTGTACATTATTAGGCTTCAGAGTGCTCTTTTGTTTTAGCTCTGTTTCTAACAAAATAAATACCTTGATATTATTAATGATGCATTTAAGGACTCAAAAACAATTGTGGCCACATTCAGGCATCACAATAAACCACAATTAAGCTGTAGCTGTAACATGAACACAGCGATTGTAGCACAACTGTGCTACCAGGCTCCCTTTGATCCTCCCATTTCCTCTCAGTTCTGTCAGGAGTTTCTGGTGTCATGAATCACAAATATTGAATTTACAACTTTATGCTTAACTTAGAAGATATTAAATATTGTGTAGTTGGTATCTGAACCATAGTGATCCCCCCCATCCCAGACAGAAACTTTTTAGAATTTGGCCTTATTGCTGAACAGACAGATGAAATTGCTGGTAGCAGAGTTACACAATCATACATGAAGGAGATGGGGGTGATTTTGCACAATTCCTCCTCCTTACTACAGCCCTCCCATATTTTTTGTTTACAAGGGTCCTCCATTTCTCATCCTTCTGTGTTCTGGTTCCTGCAAATGTAGATGGATGTGAAAAGTATCAACCAAACTGCACACTATGAGCTGTGATTCTTCCTCCTACTACCCATGTTTAGACTTTTTAAAAAGTTTCCTGTTGTTGATGACCAGCAGAGTGAGGGACTGCTTAATGTTTTCATGCTATTTGCCCCCTAAAAATTGCCTCCCACACCTACTTTCCATGCCTTCTATCCAAAGATCCACGATCTCCCATCATTTCCTACCAAAGACACTAATAATTCCATAAAACAATAAAAGAATGCTAGAATCAAGTCTTAAACTATCTGATCCTCAGTCAGCCTGCAGAGCATAGAGCAGGCAAGAAGAATTGAGTACAAAGTCTCATTTGGGAATTTTAGAATTTGAGGGAACAAGACGTCTGCAACCTGAAGCTGTCCATGGTGCTGTGGATCCTGCCTCTGATTTGTTTCCATTCTTTGCTTTCTGACTGTCTTATCAGTGCATGGCTTCGTGTCAGATGTTTGTCAGGTGGATTGTTCTTGCTAAATTTCTCCAGGTTACTTGTTGAGTGAGCTCATTGCAACAACCCTACAGTTTCCAATGAACTCAGAATGTACATAAGCAACTCCCAACTTCTATCAGTATGGCTGCTTTTCTCTCTCTCCAGACAATAGTGGGACCTACTGGACATCTACAGTTTGATATATTATTTTTTAAAAAGGAACCGTAGAATCCTGTGATGCCACTCTAGGCTAGGAAACTTCATAATAGAATGTTACATTAACATAGCCATTAAGAATGCTGAATGAGTCAAAAGTCACAAAACATAAAAGACAGGGTCTGTTTGAAGTAAGAATGTATTTTGTATATTATTAAATCAAGACCTGAAACAGTCTTAATGGTACTGGTGGGATTATTTCCACTGACTTCAATGGAGTGTTAGTAAAAGGCCTGAAAACTTGTTCTTTTTGAACCCACCAAATATTTGCCTAAGGGCTGGGCAATGTTTATGTTGCCTGCCTAGGACTGCTAAAGGAATTGTATTGTTGAGCGATACATGGCCTACATACTTTTGCCGATCGTTAGTGCCCTGAACACTACCACAGACTTCCCAGTAGAAGAAGAAGAAGAAGAGAAGAGATTGGATTTATACCCCGCCCTCCACTTGGAGTCTCAGAGCGGCTTACAAACTCCTTTCCCTTCCCCTCCCCACAACAGACACCCTGTGAGGTGGGTGGGGCTGAGAGAACTCTGACACAAACTGCTCTTTTTCAAGGACAGCTGTGCCAGAGCTTGTGACTGACCCAAGGTCACATCAGCAGGTACAAGTGGAGGAGTGGGGAATCAAACCCGGGTCTCCCAGATTAGAGTCCGCGCACTTAACCACTACACCAAACTGGCTCTGTTACCTTCACAAGTAGGGACAAACAGCTTTTCTCCTATGAATGACAACACTAACAAAAATTAAAAGCTCTGATATGTGACACTTAATTTACAGTTCACACTACATTAAGAAGGGCTTAATGTCTGTCATGGATTCATAGATATGTGTTAAAAAAAATCCCACACACTCTCTTGATCAATATATCACACCAGGTAATTCTGTTTCATTTTTAGAGCAGACACAGATTTAATCATGAGCAGAAGACAGAGCTACCTGCTGCTTGCTGTACGGCTCCCCCCTCCACCTCCTATTCCAAGTTCATTGGGTCTTATTTAAATAAGCTGGCCTGAAGCCAGAAGCTCATCATTTTAATGCAGTGTAAAATAGAATATGCATAATTATATGCAAGCCATATGTGAGGGAGACAGCTCAGCTGTGAATTTCAGGAGGCCGGGAGAGAGGGAGAGTGAACAGTCAGGGATTAGATGAGATGAGAGTAGAACAGAGTGCAAGTGTCATCCAAATGAACGGTGTAATGAGCAGGCTGCTGACACTCCTCCTTTCTCCTACCTCTCTTGCTTAGCTTTAACTCTAAACCAGAATATTGTTGTCAATTAGGAGAAAAATCCTGCATGCATGCCATATAGCTGCTAATGGATTGCATTAATGTCTCCATTTAAACTAAAGATTCCTTAATTAATAGTGTAGATCAAAATAACCCACAACTTTTAATGCATCCTCTATCCTCTTAAATTAAATATTTTTATCATATTTGATTGCCTTCATTTAATGCCCGCTCTTTTCAAATCTTTACTTAAAGAATAAGGGGGAAATCCACTTAATAGCATCAATGCGTAAATTACAACTGACCAGTTTTAAAGGGAATTATTTGATTTTTAAAAAATGAAAGTGGAAGCATATTACTGGTTGAGCATTGTTTTAAGGTTAAAGAAGTGTAGTGAATATGTAATGTAATACTTAAAATGCAACAAAGTAAATAGAAACTCCCAAACACTCAAAATAGTAAGAGGAAATGCTTCATTCGGGGGCTTGTCTCTTTGTTGTTTCAAACTCTTACACCAAAATATATTTGCATGTTCTTTCTTAATGGTGTAAAGAGCATTCCAAGTTCAAATATCTAAAAGGTGTACTGCGTATTTAAGCAAACTTCTTATTATTGTTGTGTTTGGGGATTCCCGTTTGTTTTAATGATCTGAGCTGTTATGCATTTAGCTTATTTTTTTCCTTCCATTATTTGTAAGTCCCTAAATAGGCCATTATATTTCCCTTCAGGCTAGAGATGAAGATGGACATGCTGAAAATTTTCCCCAGCAGCACTATGCTAAGGAAACTCCAAGACTTGCCTTCAAGAATAACTGCGAACTACTTGTAAGAATAACATACTTACAACAAGTCTAGATTGTTACTTTAGCACAGTGAAAATAGTTTTTGAAAAGCTTTTGTTCGTTATTACATAACATTATGAAATATTACAGCTTTAAAAAAAACCTGTACCAATTGCTAATGCTGACTCTGATATAATTGAAGAACTTTGACATCTCAATTTGCTTGCAAATCTTTTATAATTCATTATAGAACTGGAATGGCCTTGCAATAGCATTTTGTAATAAAACATCCCATTGGAAGGTATTCAAAGAGTGGCTAGTAAGGCTCTCATAAGGAAAAGGAAACAGAAAGGGAGTAACATTACTTAAAAGACATTTCCCCTTCCCCTGCTCTCCTTTTTTTATATTTTAGTGACTTCATTGTTTTCAGAAAACATTTTTTTTAAACTCAGAAGCTCTGACACGCAGTACTCCCTTTAGAATCCAAAAAGTATGTTGAAAAATATATTAAGAGGCTTTCTCTTGTTCGCTTTGGTGGAGAATGGGCAAAAGCCAGCAAAGCACTGACAAGGAGCCTGGAATGGTTACAAGCCATAAGAGCAATTATATCAGCTGTGAACGGATATCTGTTCCAGAACAGGATTAATATGCTGTTTATTATGGCATTCACAGCTAGGCAAAGTTAGCAGCAAACAGGGATGCCTCTTACATTTCTGACAAAGCTTTTGAACTCTAATGGTTTTCATTGTGTAAAATAAGCACATCAATCTAATAATTCCTGTCTTGTTTACTTAAAGCAAATAGAAAGTAAATTGTCATTTACTTAAAGGGATACTCAATATTTTGATAGGTATATGGCAATTTCTCCCTTCTATGCATTGGTTTTCCACTTGCATTTAATTAAAATACGAAATATTTCTATTTGTACAATTAAACAGAATAAGGGCCGCATTTTAAAATAATAAGTTAAAAAAAAGTAGTGGGAAAGGGGCCGTAAAATAAATTTCACAACAAATTTCCCTTTGATCCATGAAATTTTGTGATCATATTTATAATATAAAATGGAGGGGCAGAGATTGTGGCCAGAGTAAGCTGTGTCTGATACATCACCAAAATTGGAGGCAGAGGGGCTGCAGGGATCAAAGTATACTCATAAGAACACTTTCTTGGAAGTGAGCCCCAATGACTGACCCACCTGAGTAGGATTCTTAGTTAACCAGTTTAGGATTGTTCTCTTAATATTTATATAGTGCTTTCCGTAAGTGCACAGAAATTTGTCATACATTAATTTATTAAACCTTATGACAACATTGTGAAGCAGGCCATTATATTTAACTTTGAGAGAAGATGGTTCCATGAGCTAATCTGGGCTAGGACAACTCAGATCATAATTCATGCCCATAACCACAGGCCCATAACTTTCTTTGAGTTTTGTGTTTCCCATAATCCTGCTTAGCCAGTCACAGGATCTGTTACTGATGTAGGTCATAGCAGCACACAGACGAGAGGAGTTCCCAAATTAGCTATAAGTATAAAGGCATCCTGGCCACAATCCCATTCTTTAGGAATGCCCTCTATAGTTTGAGTCTCAGTAGGCCAGTTCAGATTTGCAACTTCAGTACAGAATTGTTTAATAAGATATCTGCACGTGAGAATATTTTGTAAAAATGGAGTATCAATGTAGCATGTTCATAGACAATTCCATGAGATGTTAATATTTCAGAATGTAGCTTTAGCTCACTCATACATACAGGTACATCACTCAATAATATAAAAATTATGACTTAAAACAGAACATGTGATCTTCTTCTACTGAAATTTATTAAGTTTGCAATTACACCAGATGAAATGGAAGTTATTGTCTTGGTGGATGCAGATATATGATAGTTGTTTCAGATACACACACACTTAATGAGTTGATTTTGCAATTCCTGAGTGATAAATGAGTATGTGTGAATTCAGTTTTCACAAGATTGTCTATGAGCAAATTGCATGAATGTCTCATTCCAGTGAAATGCTCTTATATGTATGTTTGTATCAGAACTGTTTAATAGTTAGGCTGTGAATACAGACTATGATATCAGAAGTCAGTTGATAGGTATATTATGCCAAATAATTTCTATCACTGAGTAATTGGTTCAATATTTTCTAGTTGCTGTTTGCCATGCTAATTATATTGGGGGCAGATTATTCCATTATATAGCTTCTGTCAACTTTGAATATTTGTAAATAATAGATTTGGATCCCTGACTTGCTCACATTTGAGTCAATGTATATTTCACTGCAAGCCATGGCATCTTCAAAACTATTACAGAACAAATATAAATAGGTCAAATGAATGAATTTATTCTCTTTTGGTGTTAGGATAATAATAATAATAATACCTTTCGATTTATTGATCTCTCATCCTGCAGAGCTGCTGGCTCTGAGTGATTTACAGTTACTCAAGGATAACATTACTTAAACTATGCCTTAGCCTGCATTCACAACATATCCCATACAGTTACTGAAATCAAAAGGAGGTTTACATGCACAAAGAAATTCAAGATTTGTTACAATAGGCAAACACAGAATAGTGGCACATTCTTAAAATCTATCACTTAATTTAAGTGAAATTGTACCTGGCAAAGTAGGTCAGTGAATAAAGCATCAGCTGAAGAAGGGCTCAGTACCTGAAGATATGCTTTGCATGTAGATGGTTCCAGGATCAATATCTAACATAGACAGTTATTAGATATCAGGGAGCAGATATTGTGAAAGACCTTTCCGTGTCAGGACCTAGTCAGAGTAGACAGTGCTAAGTAAGATGGATTAATGGCCTTATTTGATGTAAGTTGTATATTCAGAAACAAACCTTTTTGCACAAAATTAATTAATTCAAAGATGTGATTATTAAAAAGAATGTGTTTTTATTTGCTATATGGATGGGAAAAAAGTTTGAAAGGAATGTCTTATATATAATGTGTTAGAATAATGATTTTGCTACTGCACATTAGTGAGATGAAAATTTGCTAACTAGTCTTGCTCTTGAAAAGGTATGAATGCATGACAAGTTGTGCCAGAACATAGACTCAGAATGTACATTCAGATATGCAACTGAATGCAGTTCAGTGTAGGAAGATGCCATCTGCACCCAGATACATATGCATTCCAGTGCACAGTTGGATACATGGCCAATTCATCTTTGTGATTCCCGAGTCAGCTTGTGATACTCAGAATTTTATCTGTTCATATTTTATTTATCCAGAAGATATATTTAGTTGCTAGAGTTGAAGGTGAACAACAATCTTCCTCCTCTATAGTTTGTATTTTTACTAGCAATCTCCTCTTTGGGTACATGGGGCAATAGAAAAACAGAACAGGAATAGCTATATCTCTGAGGAAAAGCTTAACCAGTCATTAACAATGGGAGACAGATGTCCAGTCTTTTTTAAAGCAGCAAAAAATAAAGTTTTAAATGAAAGAAGAACTGAAACTTGTTTATTCGTATGAGACTCAGGAAATCCTTGGAGTTGTTTTAGTGCAGTGCACAGTAAGTTTTCTAATAGCCTGTCAGAGGAAACTGGAAGCTTAGGCTCAAAAGTGCTTTCTTAGCTTTAGGGTACAGATGCCATTTTCTAGTATGGATTCCTGCAGCAAGTTTGGGAAATGCTTCCGCTCTGAGGGTGCTGCCAGGATGGATTCAGGGGATCAAGCACTGATGGAAGCTGTTTGCTAGCAAGCTCCCAGAAGAACAAGAGTACATGGTTAGAATGTTAATATCCTAGGTCCTAGACAAGCATTGAAAGCCTTAACTCCTAAGTACTTGGACAGATTTCTAAGCCCAATAACCTTACTATGTTACAAGCCATATGTTTCTCTACAATGTCTGTATCTCTGAGTATTTCTTGGTATGTCAGACAGAACTTCACCACTCTTTACATAAAAATAGCTATACAGAGAAAGACTCAAATGCTTTGAACAAAATTAAGTTCTGTCCATGCATATGACCAGTCTGTTTATTAGGAAAGCCATGACAATTACAGGTTTGGCTGACAAAAGCAGCCTAAAAATTCACTATGCAGTTATGAGACTACTTTATGGATTTCCCACTTTAAATCCAAAGTGTACTGTATGCTATAACATTTAATAAAGAACATAGGAAACCAGATATGAAACTTGGCAGTTAAGAATTCTTGAGTCACTGAGGACGCAGAATTTTCCTTGTGAATTACCAGTGAATTCAGTCACTTGGAAAATTAGGTTTCCTTGAGGTTAGTGTCACATGATAAAAATAGGGAACTAGTACTTTATGCAAATATTTTGTAACAAAATTAGGCCAGTGTAGTGACTTGGCTGGCAGATCAATCCACTATTATTGAACAGTGAGGATTTTATATTTAAATTACATGCACAGGTATAAAATGTTGTTTGAAAAAGAGAAGCAGCTTTTTTGTTTTTGGTAAAGAAAGCAGCGTACAGCTGATAATGGAACAATAATGCAGTCCAGGCACTGTTGGTTGTCAAGAGTAAGAAAGGATTAAATGCTTTTTAAAAAAGGCTTGGACAAAATGAAAGGGCTGGTGAAAAGGCTACAGTCCCTACTGTAAGGAGCCCAAGATTCCCGAACTCTTGCCCAAGTAATTGCAAGCTCCCTAGCTCATCTTGAGTCAGAGCAAGGCAGATAAGGTACTTGGATACAGAGCCACATGCTATCCAGAACATAAAATGGAGCATCAGGGTTTGGTCTGTTCCTATATGAGCAAATAAAATGTATCATGTGAAACTGCTGGTTTTTTCCCCCTTCTGTTCAGTTGCTAATAAAATCACAGTAGCATCCCACATAGACAGAGCCACTGAATACTTATATAGTTGACAGCAGAAGAGTCTTACTGAGAAAAAGGAACAAAAACAAGGGAGAGCCCCAATGGCAGCACCACCATTATGCACACTGAGGAAAGAAAAATAAAGAGGTTTTCCTTAATACCCAGTCTATGGACTCAGCTACACAGTATATTTTTTTCTTGTTTTTATTTTAAATTTCTTTTTCTTTTCTTTTACAAA